CCTATGCAGGTGGGACACACCAGGCTCACTCCTGAGGAGAGACAGAGGCGTTTTCTAAGTAAACTATGTATCTACTGTGGTGAGAGTGGACACTTCATCGCCTCCTGCCCGGCAAAATCAAAAGCCGGGGCCCGCCAGAGGATCTGAGGAGTCTGGCGGGCCAAATAAACACAATGAAATCTCCTCGATTGTTGCTGCCTGCCACGCTTTTCTGTGATAATCAAAGCCTCTCTTTCTCTGCTTTCATCGACTCAGGCTGTGAACGTAATCTAATCGACTCTAACCTCGTCCAGCAACTCCAAATTAAAACCGTTCCTCTCTCTCAGCCTCTCAGTGTGTCCGCTATAGACGGAAAAAGACTCCATCGAGTTACCCACCAAACCCAGCCTCTCGAGCTACTTCTGTCAGGTAACCACCGAGAGACAATAACATTCTTTGTTTTTCCCTCTGCATGTTCCCCGCTGGTTCTCGGGCTCGAGTGGTTGGAGAAGCATAACCCTCACATTAACTGGACTAAACGTCACCTGGAATCATGGTCCACTACGTGCCACGAAACATGCCTTCGTTCTGCTGCCCCTATGGTGGGGTCTCCTAGAGGTGGGGGGGAGATGGACTCTCCTGACCTTTCTTCAGTTCCCTCTGAGTACCATGACTTAGCCCCTGTCTTCAGTAAGGTCAGTGCGACGTCCCTACCTCCACACAGACCATACGATTGCGCCATTGAACTTTTACCTGGTGCTCCTCTTCCTAGCAGCAGATTGTATAACATTTCCAAGCCAGAAAGAGAAACTATGGAAAAATACATCAACGAGTCTTTAGCTGCTGGAATAATTCACCCTTCATCCTCTCCATTGGGCGCCGGTTTCTTCTTCGTGGGCAAGAAGGATGGTTCCCTGAGACCTTGTATTGATTATCGAGGTTTGAACCAGATCACAATTAAAAACAAATACCCACTGCCTCTTCTCGCCTCTGCTTTTGAACCAGTACAGGGTGCAACAGTGTTTTCCAAGCTGGATTTAAGAAACGCCTATCATCTCCTTAGGATACGAGAGGGCGATGAATGGAAAACTGCCTTTAAAACACCCTTGGGCCAATTCGAATACCTAGTAATGCCCTTTGGTTTAACTAACGCTCCAGCCTGCTTCCAGGCCCTAGTAAATGATGTTCTCAGAGATTTCCTCAACGTGTTTGTTTTTGTGTACATTGATGACATTCTCATTTATTCCAAGGACCTCCATGAACACAAGAAACATGTTCGTCTTGTCTTACAGAGACTACTGGTAAATAAGCTGTTCGTGAAACCCGAGAAGTGCGAATTTCATCAACCTTCAGTCACTTTTTTGGGGTTTGTGCTCGAGGGCGGCCAGGTAAAACCTTCAGAGGACAAAATCAAAGCAGTCTTAGACTGGCCAGTTCCAGAGAACCGAAAACAACTGCAGAGGTTTTTAGGATTCGCAAACTTCTATCGTCGATTTATAAGAAACTACAGTCAAACCGCCCTTCCATTAACCTCCCTGACTTCTGTAAAACGAACCTTTCAGTGGACTCCCGAGGCTCAAACAGCATTCGAAAGGTTAAAATCCTTGTTTTCCAGAGCTCCTGTCCTTATTCAACCTGACCCCGCAAAGCAGTTTATCCTAGAGGTGGATGCTTCAGATTCCGGTGTTGGAGCCGTTGTTTCCCAGAGGCTCGACTCAGACCAAAAGATACACCCATGTGCTTTCTTCTCCCGTAGGCTTTCTTCCGCTGAACAGAACTATGATGTGGGTGACCGAGAGCTCCTGGCTATCAAGCTGGCGTTGGAAGAATGGAGGCATTGGCTGGAGGGAGCTGAGCACCCGGTTCTTGTGTGGACAGACCACAAAAACCTGGCTTACATCCAGTCAACTAAACAGGCTAATCCTCGCCAATCCAGGTGGTCAATCTTCTTCTCCCGCTTCAACCTAATCATTTCCTACAGACCCGGATCCAAGAACGTGAAGCCCGATTCTCTCTCTCGTCTCTACTCCGTCGATCATCCTGAGACACCTGAACCAGTCCTTCCGGCTTCATGTACAGTAGGAGTGGTCAACTGGGAGATAACTGACCTCATCAACTCAGCCCTGACCACTGAACCCGATCCAGGTAACGGTCCATCTAACCGTACATATGTCCCATCTTCTGTCAGGTCCCGTCTTATCCAGTGGATGCATGCCGCCAAATTCTGCGCTCATCCAGGAGTGAGTAGAACAGTTGCTCTCATCTCCAGACGCTTCTGGTGGCCCACTCTCCACAGGGACGTAAAGGAGTATGTGTTGGCTTGCCTCACATGTGCCCGTAACAAAGCCTCACACCAACCTCCTACTGGCCTGCTTCAACCACTTCCTGTTCCCTCGCGTCCATGGTCTCATATCGCCATTGATTTCGTCACCAGTCTCCCTGTCTCTCGAGGTATGTCCACCATACTAACCATTGTTGACCGTTTCTCGAAGTCCTGCCATCTAGTTCCCCTCAGAAAACTTCCCACGGCCTTCCAGACAGCCCAGCTTCTCATAAAACATGTTTTCCGGCTTCATGGCATCCCCCAAGAAATCCTCTCGGACAGAGGTCCCCGATTCATCTCTCAGGTATGGAAGGCTTTCTGTTCTGCTCTCGGCTGCAAACCCTCTCTCACCTCAGGTTACCACCCCCAATCGAATGGTCAGACCGAACGCATGAACCAACAGTTGGAATCCACCCTCCGTTGCCTCACGTCTAATAACCCCGTGGATTGGAGTCAATTCCTCCCATGGATTGAATATGCCCACAACTCTCTCCGTTCTGCATCCACTGGACAATCCCCATTCCAGGTCAGTCTCGGATATCAACCACCTCTTTTCCCCGCAGATGAGAGAGAGATATCGGTGCTGTCCGTCAATCAACACATCCGTCGCTGTCAAAGGATTTGGAGGGAGACCATCGCTACACTCAACCAGTCATCTGCATCCGTTAAACGTTTCGCCGACGCCAAGAGACGTCCCGCCCCCGAGTACTCTGAGGGCCAGGAGGTGTGGCTCTCCACCCGAGACATGTCTCGAAAACTCTCCCCGAGATTCATTGGACCTTTCAGAATCTCTCGAGTCATCAACCCCTCAGCTGTTCGTCTCCAACTACCTCAGTCCCTCCGAATCCACCCTATATTCCACGTCTCCCAGATTAAACCTGTTTCTTCGAGCCCTCTGTGCCCGCCGTCCGACTCCCCACCACCCGCCCTGGAGGTCCATGGCCATCCGGCCTTCACAGTGCGCCGCATTGTGGACTCCCGTCGACGAGGTCGCGGATGGCAGTACCTCTACTGTCTCTGTTTTCCAGGAAACCCGTGCCTCCTCTGTGAAAGCTCTGGGAGAGCTAACCTGCCGAGCCGACCCTCTGAGCCAAACCCTGAAGATTCACAGAGAACCCCCAAGCAGCTCTGGACTTGAGCTGGGAAATCTAAACCAAGGTCTGTTCAAGCTAAGACGTGAGACACTGAAGCAGCAAACGGACTCTGCTGATAAACTCTTCTCCAGAACCAACAGTGACTCTCCCAAAGTAAACCTCAAGAACCCTCAAGGTACAATCAGGGAACCTTTGGAAATCAAACCCTGTCTGCAGTCCCTAACTGTGCTGTCTCTCACGCAGACTCCGGTGAACCAGAATCCAGGCCCGAACCAGAATCAGTACATTCTGTGTGTTGTCCTTAAATAAACTGTTAAACTTTTCATCCTTGTGTCCGTCAGTGGTGTTCTGCATAACTGGGTCTCCTTTAGTGAACCCATCATGACATATGGGTCATTTCGAATACCTCAAATCGGGAAATGGACATCTAATATACGGAGGAAATGCCTCTGTGGTCACCACAATAAATCATATCTGCTGGCAGTTAGAGCTTGGACCCAGAACATGGATTATTTGTGCTAGTAACTGGCTGAACTATATGGAAGCAAATCGTTGCCATATTTCAAATGAAAAAGTATTTCCAGAAATGCTTTTTCATTTGAAGAATGTGGCTGCATTGTTTGACTCATAAATAAAATTAGTATCCACACAGACCATACGATTGCGCCATTGAACTTTTCGAACTTTTCTTAGTATTTGAGATTTATTTTTCAAAATGTACCCCAGCAAATACATACCAAAATTCAATTTAAAATGTAAAATTCGAAAATGAAAAAGCATTTCCAGAAATACTTTTTCAGTTTAAGAATGTGGCTGCATTATTTGACTCATAAATGACTAATACTAATTTGATTTATTCCTCAATGTTAAATGTTTCATTGCACTAAAGACTGAACTGTGAATAGCACTTGATAAGCAATGCTTTATGCAGATCACAGTGTCATAGTTCTGTCAGTATAAAAAAATGAACTTTTATATGACTTGTTGCTATATGATTTTTTTGTACCATATTTAGTGGAAGGAACTGTCCTATAATTAATGTTCATCTACTGTTCATCCTTCTACAGAAGTAGATTTTCAAATAAATTGCATAAAATATCAGTGGTTTCTAAAAGAAAAAAGCCAAAATATCGTAACTTTTCTATGATTGAATAACCTAGATAGTTTGATTAAATATATAAATATATCTTTGGTTATGATGTGGTTTAGATTTGGTTAGACTGATTTATTCAATAATTGAGGTTTTACAATGAAAAAGGCTGGTGTATTTTGTAGATATATGGTTTTTCGATTAAAATGCAATTAATTCTGATTGATTAATCACAGATCATGTAATTAATCAAATATTTAATTGTGTCCCACCAGTGCTAATTGAAAGATTTCACTCTGTGTGCTAAACCTATATGAGTTAAAGTTCATTTTTTACTTCATTACTTCATTCATGACAGGAGAGCTTTTTCAGAACATTTTAATTGTGATCTTGAAAGCTAACTCCCTAAATGTTTTGGTGTTTTTTTTATTGGTATTCTGTTTTATTCTTTCCATTGCTTGTGTTCATTTGGATCATTTCCATTTAATACATAATTTTTTATCAACATATGCCACAACACATCAAAAACAACTCCTCAAACTATTTATTTTAGCCATTTTGCTTTGTTTGCTTTGTTACTATGATATGTTCGTTTTTAAAACAAATACAAATTATAGTATTGCCCAAACTAAGCAGAGATGTAAAATCTAACCCGCAGGAATCAATCAGACTTGATCATCATTCTGGAGGCCTTTGCGGAATAAGGTTTGCCTTTCCAGGTGAGCCAGTGAATGCCTGAGCTCCAGCCGATGGGGTCGTCAGAAGAGTGCCAATCCCCATTGAGGGCTGCAGAGCCACAGCCACTGTACCACCAGCCACTGCCATGTCTCTCTGTGCACTCGTCAAAAGCAATGTCACCATAGATGCATGGGCGGCAGTAGTCATTGTCACGGTCGTAGGTGCTGAAGCCTGAACCGTTTTGGTCACGCAGGGCATCACCTTTGCAAAGAGACAAAAACTGTTAATCAAGTATCAAATAATAAGGCGCAAATCTTTATGTACGTTTTTATATATACAGTTCTATATTTAAAGATATAAAATGTATTTTGCAAAAGTTTTTATTACTGGACATGTGCTGTAAGCCTAATATAAGACTATCCTGATCAGCTGATAGAGAGTTCACTAGGAGGCTTCCCTAACAACAAAGAATGGGGCCCTGGTTACAGAGGAGGAGGGTAAAACCTGCAAGCTGCCCTAACAGTCAATTATAGTGTTGGTTATTTTTTATGGATACTGTCTTGATTACCTTTAATAAAAGCATTTCAATATGCTATAATTTAGGTTTAATAGAGGGTAAGCTGTAGCCTTTCTAATTTGTAAGGAATTACTCACCATAAGATATATTTCTGCAACAGATGTTAAGCTAAATATTCTCTAGTTTTAAAATCAACAAAATGCACAGTGTTGTTTAAAAAAAGGATTGACTTTACCTGCATCTCCACTGTATTTGCCAACACGCAGCTGATAAGCTGTTCTCTCATCTCCAAGTTTAAAGTTACGGTACTCTGCAAAAGCATGTTGATCGTTATGGTCCAGCAGGTCCACCCTCAAAGTCCACTTTTTAGATGGATCCTTGGTAAGAAGATGGATGCTTTCCAGACCGAGCCAATGATCCTCTGAGGGATCAGAGAAGCACATAAAGAAAAACATGAAGATCTCTTTTTGGATAAACAGACAGGATACCAGATGGAACTGCTTGATTTCCTTTTAACTGAACTCCACTACTCAGAATTCATTTGATTTGTTGCTTTTTTGATTTTATCTTTTAGGGATTACATGATCATTAAAAACTTCTCACAGAACAACATAATGAGTCAGTTTATTTACCATCTAGGTTTCCAAATCCTGTTTTATAATCAGCCCATCCTCTCTCAAAATTCTCCTTCCCTCCAGTTCGTCTCTGGATCACGATCCAGCCTTCATCTCCGTGGATTTCACAGTACACCTGAGCAGGTCGTCCAAGAAACAAAGCAAAACAGCATTTTTTAGCTACAGGTGTAAGTTGCAATTTGGGGCAAAATTTGCTGCTTAGCCAAGGTCTGCACTTTCAGAGTGCTTTTCTAGATTCACATATGAATATTTCATTTGCAAAAACAGATAAAAGCCATTAAAAAAAAAAAAAAAGAGCTTAGGCATGTGATTTACTCTGTATGGCGCTGCTAGTAAAAAGTATATATATATATATATATATATATATATATATATATATATATATATATATATATATATATATATATATATATATATATATATATATATATATATATATATATATATATATATATATATATCTTTTTATTTTTTTTTTATAAAAACTGAGTTATCTGTTTTTGCAAATGAACCCTTAGGGGTTCATTTGCAAATGAACCCTTAGGGGTTCAGGGGCGGAGCTAGATGGGGGGCCCCTTAGCCAATCATTGTCCACCCCTGTGGCCACCCCTACCACCTTTTCCCTCTAATACAGATGTTGGCAGCAGTAATACTCTCAAGTGGAATATTCAAAACATTTTAACTTTTCATAAATTAACAATACTTCACACAAAAACACTGTAGTTAATTATGCACACCAATGTACTAATATTAAAGATGATAAGTTCAGAATTCATGCTCTTTTCAGAACTAGATTTTGTGTTATATGTGGTAAAGAGAAAATGATATGTCTCTGCAAGTCATGAGTCTTCTTTAGAAAAAATGTATTAAATAATCAATTTATGTAGATATTAGTACATGTAAATATAAATTTTATGCATAATGATTATTGATAAAAGTAGGTAAGTAATGACAATGGAAATGTTGAAATATATGCGTCTATTTGTTAGGAAAGGCTGCAGGAAAGTATAGTTAGTCTTTATTTAGTGAATATGGACGTTGTGCTCATTCATTTTCCTGTTGGAACGGTGTAGATTTTCCCTAAGGTTCTGGTGCCACCCCTCAGGGAACATTGGTTATTGCCTGGCCACCCTTGTAAAAATTTTCTGGCTACGCTGCTGCTCTGTGCAGGTTGCAAGCTAAGCTTAAAGCAATGTTAGATGGATTAAAAGAGAGCTGTCACCAGCTATGTTCATACCGTAAGGCTGGTTTGGGTCCCCTTAGGATGGATTTTAAGCACTCCGCTGGTCACACCTGGGAATTTAGTCTTTATCTCTGTACAGTCTTTTCCCCCAAATATTTACAGAGGAAGGAAAGATAAAATAGAAACTCAATCTTAACCTGAATCTTTAAATTTATTTAATATATAGACATTTTAATGCATAACAATATTTATAACAAAGGAAATAAAGCTGCTTGCCTTCTGGAAAAGCTGTTTTCTGTGTGCACAAAAAGCAGATCTTACATTACACTTCAAATTGTTCAGGTCTGAAGTATTTTACTGTAAGAGGAAATCGAATCTTTACCCAAGCCTGAATGGAGCTGCTCAACAGAAGCACCACTGTGAGTCCAAAGAAGCCAAGAAAACTCTTCATTTTTTACCTGAATATAAGAGAAGGACACTTGTCATCAAAAGGAAGCGAAAAACAACAGATTTAATTCTTAATATTAAATCATATACATCATATTCATACCGTTTTGTTGGCTGAAGCTTGAATCTCTTAACCCTGAACAAAAGCAGTAGCCTTTAAACCCTGCAACCCTCCTCCTTTTTTTATGATAACTCATGTTTTTGTTTTTTTCCTAGAAGTCATTTGTGATTAGCAATGACCTTCAGCCACCTCATGTCAGATTATGCTCAAAAGTGTGATAAATATGTTTTTATTACAGCTGCATTTAGGTTACAGGATTTCTCATGTTTCCAAGACAGATAATGTTATAGAATATGGAAATATAACAGACGTCTACAAAAGAAAATCAGTTATATTTAGTCTGTTATTTCCTATTTCCACTCATTTAGTGCCATACATTATGTGCAATTGAACTAAAATAGCCAAATAAAATTATTTCTAATTAAAAAGCACATTATTTTGGTATCTTAGCTGCTATCTCTTTATTTAATGTGAAGATACAGAAATATTAGAAAAGATTTCTCAGTTGAAACAGAAAAAGATTTGAGAACAGATTTCTAAAGCTCCTTCTGAATTTTTTGGCTACTTCTCTGATCATACCAAATCTCTCCATCCTTACTGTACATTTAAAAAGAGCGGTTTCCATTTAAATTTTTCAGGTGACAGCTCAAAATATTTTGTGGATTTTCTTGTTTTATTTTTTGTTAGGTTTTATTTGCTGTTTGGTTTTATAATCCTGCTCCCTAACCTTTTTTTTTTACATTTTTCTCCCTCAACTTCCTGTGCTACTGAGGTTTTATGCTGCACTTTGTTTATTAATATTATCCTACAAACATTTAAGACCTTCTTAATACTGCTTTCTGACGCATCAAACATTTTATTAAAATAATCTCTCCCTTACTGTAGCTTTTTGACACATTTCTGCTATCTGACTGGTGGCCAAAAGCAGCTTGAATCCACTAAAACAAAGACTCACCTCTGAATGCAGCTCTGGATGATATATCAGGAAAACATTTTGGTTCTGACTTCTTGACCTTTTTGAACTTTGTTTTTTTTGACATATGCACTACAGCTCCAGCATCATATATATATATATATATATATATATATATATATATATATATATATATATATATATATATATAGATATATATATATATATATATATATATATATATATATATATATATATATATATAAATATATAAAGCGACAAAAACTGCAATGCAATCTTAAGTGCTTTAAAGTTTAGGGTGACCCAGTCATCTGTTCGGACTTATTTAACCCTCGGACTGTCTAATCTGTTAAGATATCACTTGACTCAGTCCCGGTGGGAAGAATAAATGACTTTAGATGATTAAACACGGGATAACAATGACCTTTATAAGCTACGGTTAGACAGTGTCGTATGAAATATCTTGTTTTTAAAATATAAGATTTTTTTTTTTTGCTTCCTTTGTTACACTTTCATTTTTCAGATCTCTTTGCATTTCAATATTACCAATGTAGCCTAAATAGATAAGAAAGACAGTTTTCAACTTAGGGTTTTGACTATTGTCAGCTGTTCAGTCAAAAAAATGGAAAATATAACAGCTGCTTTAGAGCAGTATTTCAGACTTTTTTTCCCCCATTGCTCTTTGCAGCCTTAATCTGTCATTAAAAGCCTGTTTAAGGTCCTGCCTCTAAATTTATATTAATTGTTTCAAAAACTGTATTTTTGTATTTACTATTTAGATATTGTTATTCAGGCCCTGAAACATTGAAGCAGTCTATGCAGTCTATGAGCATTACACGATCACGACTAAGTTTGATATTTGGCACATTTGGTACATTATTTGCTTGAAATGTTGTTACCTAAAGTACTTTCTTTTGCGTAGCAGTTGATTAAATATTTTTTGTTAAATATAATTTCTCTTTGCAAGTTTCTCCTTAAGACTATTAAGCTATGTTTCCTGTTTTCTCCATTAAAATAGCAGAATAAGCAAAGCTTCAGACCTGATAGGCATCAGTCACTTAGTTTTTTATTTGTTCTTTTTTTTTTTCTTTCTTTAGTTTAAAGAATTATATTATATACTTATTTTATTCAGACAGGTCCTATATATGGGATTAATTGATTCTATTCTATTATTTATTAAAGTGTTTTCCTCAGAGTAGCTTTTCAGTTTGAATATTCACCCCAGAATGATAAGTGTTCATTTCTACAGCTCAAATAAGAAGCAACACATATAGATCCCAGCCTTTATTTTGATTTCATGACTTGAAAAATTTGGATGGATGTGTTGCCAAAGTGCAACTGACAGGAGGGATTACTCCGTTTTGAACATCATCCGGGTAGCCTTCAATGAATAAGGGGCGGGTCCTTTCCAGGTGAGCCAGTGCAGACCTGAGGCCCAACCAATGTGATCTCCAAAGGGATGCCAGTCACCGTTCAGACTGGCAGAGCCACAGCTGCTGTACCACCAAGCTCCACCCTCTGAAAAGGCACACTCTAGTTCAGCGATGTCACCGAAGATGCACGGGGAGCAGCCGTCATTGTCCCGGTCGATGGTGCTGAAGCCAAAGCCATTTTGGTCGATGCCTGCATAGGCCCCACGGATGGCGTCACCTTTAAAGAGAGAAGAACTATTGAGGACTTTAGCTTAAACAAAAAAACTTTCCTGTCTTTGTCAGAAATAATAATATATACATCTATGCTGCATTTAAAAAATAAGAATGCCTTGAATAATCTTTGATATGGCTTTAAACTTTGTTTAAAATTATCTCATGTTTTATAATTTACTAAACAAACTAAAGCATAATTAAAGTTACCTGCAGTTCCGCTGTATCTCCCAACCTGAAGTCTATAAGCCGTTGCATCACTTCCAATTTTAAAGTTGTTGTACTCAGCATAAGCAGTGCCACCTTCATGGTCCCACAGATCCACCCTCACAGTCCACTTTTTGTATTTTTCCTTGGTCAGAAGATGGACCTTCTCCAAACCGAGCCAGTGGTCATCTAAGGAATCAGCCCAGCGAGAGATTATAATCTTAAACATTCCAAACTCCATCAATAAACAAACTTTATCTTAAACATGTGGAACATATACCTACCATCCATAGATCCAAAGCCGTATTTGTAATCTCTCCATCCCCTGTGAAAGGACAAAACTCCTTCAGTTCGTCTCTGAAGCACCACCCAGCCACCGTCTGAACGCAGCTCGCAGTACACCTGAACAAGAAGTCAGGGGAACGTGGAGAATTTATGGCACCTGAGATCTTCTCCCTGACGGACTCCTCAACCGCCATGATATGTCAGATTTAGTACCTTAAAGCGAGTGCTGCCCCCAGCTGGCTGGATTACATAAACTCCACTGGATGCTAGAGGTGACTGCTTCTGAATCTCTGTACAGTCTTTTCAAAGGGTGGGGGTGGAAATGAAATTAAAGACACATTCATTTGACTTTCTACTAAAAACACAGCAAAACAAAACATTACTTACCTTCTGGTAAAGTTCTTTTCTGTTAAAAGAGCACAAAAGGCATCACTCAGCATTGCATTTCATCTTCTATAATTACAGGATCTAAGAACTGGAGTAGAGCAGATCTAATAAATGTAGTTTTGCTTACTAAGAACCATCTTTTGGCATTTCCACTACAAAAACATGTAAAAAAAAATGCTTGATTAGTCTTTATATCTATTCTAAACAACCAAAAAGGGAGGAAAAAAGCAAAATAAAACTTTAATAAGTTGATAGGCTTGATAAGCTTGCTCAAGATATACATTTTGAGTCATAAAACCTTCAACTCAGTTGAATCTGATTTTTTTTAACTAAGAGCTTTTGTTTGTGCACATATATTTATATATCTATATATAGATATATATGCAGTAGTCGAGTTGTTAAAAAAAAGAGAAGGGGAATTGTGTCTCTGGAATGACATGTCTATCATTGCCCCTGCATTTGTCCCTATAGTTAGGGACAAATGCAGAGGACAAATTTCCCACTGGGATCACTTTCATTGTCATGTTACGCCACATCTTTGATTTAATTGATTTTGTTCAGGCTATTGGTAGGCCTGCACCCTGCCAAAGGGCAATATTATTGCAATTACTGTTAATATAGTCGAAGTTTTACACATTTAGTAATCAAATGTCACAGGGGATGGTCAGGGAGGTCCATGACAGCACTGCTAGAGCTGCAGGAAATGTCTTTTAAGGACTGAGAGTTTGTTGCATGTTGTCATTATTTCTTTAATTTTTTACCTGAACAAAGCAGTAAGGCGCATGAAAGCATTATTCTCCTGCTATGGAAAACATCTAAACTGGAAGAGAATCATCAAAATTCCTCAGAGAGAATATATTTGGCTCTAATAAAAACAAACTTGAACTTTTAAGCCAGGATTCTATTATCAGCCACACCATAGCTAAAATTAAAATAAAGTGGCCATATAATATTCTAGGAAGATTTCATTTCAAAACCAGGATTTTAGTCAGGTAAGAGAAAGAAAAATATCTCTATTCCGGCTCCAAAGATCTGGAGTGACCTCGCCAAGAATCCAGATCTTAGCTTCTCAGAAGGCCTGTTGGATCATCTAAACTGAGCCTTCTGCACAATAGAGCAGGGGAATGTTACCCATATGATTAACATGCAGACAGGTTTCTACCCAAAATGCCGAAACTAACTCAAATAGTTCTTTGCTTGTTCTTACTTTAAGGCTTTGCATATGGAGTCATTTACCTTGGTTTCTTTCTCTTTTTTTTCACAACAGTAACAAACAAACAAACAAAAAATCAGGCAAATTTGTTTGTTACCTTCGGTATCACTATAATATCGAATTACTTTTTCTTACCATAGCGTGGCCTGAGAAGCACAACGGAAAGACCAGTATGACCACAAGGTAGTTGAGTAAAGCCTTCATTTTGACCTAAAAAAAAAAAAGTTAGCTCCAAACGCAGGTAAATAAGTTAAACAATTCTTGTGTTCCCAATTGCTTATAAGCTTAAAACTCTAATGTTATTTAATTCAAAAGATAAGAAAACACAGGTTTAAAACCTATATACTTACAAGTACAAATGTGAGCACTAATGAGCATACATACCGTGTGATGAATAAACTTCTACCGCGGTGAAGTTAGTTTTACGTTGGCTATTCGACAGACATTCAAACCGCTTCTTCCTCCGGTTAATTCTCTTCTCCCCCACGGGAAAACCTCTCCTTTTCTCCGGGTACACTGCGATCGGAGGAAGCCGCTCCAACACTTCCAGTGCACCCTTATTAGAGACTTTACAGTAAAAACACGGCGAGTGAAAACGGCTACATTGTGTACCAACTTCCTGTTTTCAAAATAAAACTGTAGGCTTACATTTTGAAGCCCAGAAGCTGGCAACCTAGAATATTTATATTTGTTGTATTTACAAAAACATTATACACGTTTAGAGATTTCATATTTAAACTAAATGCTGTATCTCATTAAACCAGTCTAGTACCATGATTTCTCATACATTTTGTGTCAATCCATCACAAAAACTGGAACATATTCAGCAAAACTGCCAATATCTACACATAGATACCTGGAAGCTATTGAGCAAAAATGCTAATATTTCATTATAAAAATTAATAAAAAAATATTAAAAACTTAAAATGTAAAAAAAAAAAAGGGCGTAACTTTTGAAGATGATGGAGTGCTATGATTCAATATTGATTTTGAGTCAATTGATCACATTACCTGGAAGCTATTGAGCAAAAATGCTAATATTTCATTATAAAAATTATTTAAAAAATATTAGAAATTTAAAATGTAAAAATAAAGGGCGTAACTTTTGAAGATGATGGAGTGCTATGATTCAATATTGATTTTGAGTCAATTGATCACATTACCTGGAAGCTATTGAGCAAAAATGCTAATATTTCCACATAAAAATTAATAAAAAAATATTAGAAATTTAAAATGAAAAAATAAAGGGCGTAACTTTTGTAGACAATGGAGTGCTATGATTCAATATTGATTTTGAGTCAATTGATCACATTACCTGGAAGCTATTGAGCAAAAATGCTAATATTTCATTATAAAAATTATTTAAAAAATATTAGAAACTTAAAATGAAAAAATAAAGGGCGTAACTTTTGAAGATGATGGAGTGCTATGATTCAATATTGATTTTGAGTCAATTGATCACATTACCTGGAAGCTATTGAGCAAAAATGCTAATATTTCATTATAAAAATTATTTAAAAAATATTAGAAATTTAAAATGTAAAAATAAAGGGCGTAACTTTTGAAGATGATGGAGTGCTATGATTCAATATTGATTTTGAGTCAATTGATCACATTACCTGGAAGCTATTGAGCAAAAATGCTAATATTTCCACATAAAAATTAATAAAAAAATATTAAAAACTTAAAATGAAAAAATAAAGGGCGTAACTTTTGTAGACAATGGAGTGCTAGGATTCAATATTAATTTTGAGTCAATTGATCACATTACCTGGAAGCTATTGAGCAAAAATGCTAATATTTCATTATAAAAATTATTTAAAAAATATTAAAAACTTAAAATGAAAAAATAAAGGGCGTAACTTTTGAAGATGATGGAGTGCTATGATTCAATATTGATTTTGAGTCAATTGATCACATTACCTGGAAGCTATTGAGCAAAAATGCTAATATTTCATTATAAAAATTAATAAAAAAAATATTAAAAACTTAAAATGTAAAAATAAAGGGCGTAACTTTTGTAGACGATGGAGTGCTATGATTCAATATTGATTTTGAGTCAATTGATCACATTACCTGGAAGCTATTGAGCAAAAATGCTAATATTTCCACATAAAAATTAACAAAAAAATATTAGAAATTTAAAATGAAAAAATAAAGGGCGTAACTTTTGAAGATGATGGAGTGCTATGATTCAATATTGATTTTGAGTCAATTGATCACTATACTTGGAAGCTATTGAGCAAATAAGGTAATATTTTTATATAAATGTCTCATTAAAGTGGAATTTTTGTTGTCTTAGGAAAACAGGTTTACATTATATTACATACAGAAAGAAGCAGAGATACAAAAGGCAACTGTCAACTGACGTCTATAAACAAGGGTGTTCATGGGAGCAGCACAGCTGATATTTCTCTCCAAGGTGTCACAGCCAAAAAGGAACAGACAAGATTAAGCTACTACGATGAGAAAAAACATCATCATGACCATAACATTAGAGATTAAAATAAGAAATACAAAAGAATGGGAGAATAGAGATATAATGAAGCAGAATGACTAAAAAGGGTCCCTATGTCCTCCTGCAGTCTAAGCCAATAGCAGCATTACTATACAGATAACTATCAGCTTTATTAAAATGGAAAGTTTTAAGCCTAGCCTTGAAATTAGACAGGGACACTCTGATCCTTGTTCTACATGTCTAACTAATGACAAGCTGATATATATCTGACATGGCACCACTCTTAGCCAGTCATCTGTTAGAGAAGATAGTCAATGCATTTTTTACAGTCTATGATTGGATATTGTGCTGCAGCCCCACAAAAATGGAAATAAATGTGCTATTCAAGACTTGTGACTCATAAAGGACGACAAAGACGCATCCGGCTGCAATTAAACTCCGGAGTGTCCGACTTAAAGCTGGACATACGGCTACCCTAACATCACCCCTGGTCATGAATAAAAGATTAAACCTCTATTCCACAGTGAAAATTTGCGATTTAACACCCTTCTGTTTTCTTTTTGGCATATTTTAACAAAAAATCAAAAAGCTTTCCTTCTTTGTTCTTATTTTATTCTCCAGTTCTGTACAGGTGATGTAGAATTTGAAGCTGTGGTTCTATGTCTCAATATCAGGTGTTAAAAAAGTTAAAAGGTTTCGTAAATTTACTCTGAAAATTATACACAAATATACGGATGTTAAACAATTTAAGTGGTACTTTTCAATACTTAAGTACTTTTGAAGGCATGTACTTTTGATCACTTCTTCTATACTTGAGTAGATGACTGACCGGGTATGTTTTACTCGCAGTAGAGTAAGACTTGACTATGAACATCAACGCTTTTACTCCAATACTGCAGCAGACTACTTCTTCCACCACTCTTAGTACCCACAATAGATACCTTTACCGACCTGTATCTTCCCTCTGGATCAGAACCTTTCTTACCATTACTTTTTTTGAGGCAGTTTGTTATCATTCCAGCTCTGCAGCTGGAAACCCTTATTAGCTGATTCTGTATACCCAATCAATGTAAAGCCCAAAACTGTCCCACACATGAGTAACAAACTTAATACTGTTTCAAAAGCTAAGAGGTTCAACAATTTTCTCAACAATATGACATTTTGAAATTTTATATAATACATTAGCCCTTCCCTGTGCTGTCACCTTATCATGGTGGAGGGGTTTGAGTGTCCTAATGATCTTAGGAGCTATGCTGTCTGGGGGCTTTATGCCCCATAGTATGGTCACCCAAGGCAGACAGGTCCTAGGTGAGGGACCAGACAAAGAGCAGCCCAAAGACCCCTTATGATGAGTAACATAAATGGACCTAGTGTTCCTACGCCTGGACGCGGGTCACCGGGGCCCCACTCTGTAGCCAGGCCTGGAGGTGGGGCACGCTGGCGAGGGCCTGGTGGCCGGGCTTTTACCCATGGAGCCCGGCCGGGCACAGCCCGAAGAGGAAACATGGGTCCCCCTTCCAATGGGCTCACCACCTGTAGGACGGGCCAAAGGGGTCGGGTGCAGTGTGTGATGGGTGGCAGTCAAGGGCGGGGACCCTGGCGTTCTGACCCTCGGCTGAAGAAGCTGTCTCTTGGGACATGGAATGTCACCTCTCTGGTGGGGAAGGAGTCTGAGTTAGTGCACGACGTTGAAAGGTTCCAACTACAGATAGTTGGACTTACCTAGACGCATGGCTCTGGAACCAGTCTCCTTGAGAGGGGGTGGACATTCTTCCACTCTGGGGTTGCCCCTGGTGAGAGGCGCCGAGCAGGAGTGGGCATTCTTGTTGCCCCTGATCTTGGTGCCTGTACATTGGGGTTCAACCCAGTGAACGAGAGGGTTGCCTCCCTCCGCATTCGTGTGGGGGGACAGGTTCTGACTATTGTTTGCGCTTATGCGCCAAACAGCAGTTCAGATTACCCACCCTTTTTGGAGTCTTTAGAGGGGGTACTGGAGAGTGCCCCTCCTGGGGGCCCCCATTGTTCTTCTGGGGGACTTCAACGCTCACGTGGGCAATGACAGTGAGTACTGGCGAGGCGTGGTTGGAAGGAATGGCCCACCTGACCTGAACTTGAGCGGTGTTATGTTGTTGGACTTCTATGCTCATCATGGATTGTCCTTAATGAACACCATGTTCAAGTATAAGGTTGTTCATACTTGCTCTTAGGACAAGGACACCCTAGGTCGTAGTTCAATGATCGACTTTGTTGTTGTTTCATCTGACCTGCGGCCGCATGTGTTGGACACTCGGGTGAAGAGAGGGGCGGAGCTCTCTACCGACCACTACCTGGCAGTGAGTTGGCTCCAATGGTGGGGGAGGACGTTGGTCAGACCTGGTAGGCCCAAACGTATTGTGAGGGTTTGCTGGGAATGTCTGGCAGAGTCCCCCGTGAGAAGGAGCTTTAACTCCCATCACCGACAGAGCTTTGAACACGTTCCGAGGGAGGTGGGGGACATTGAGTCTGAGTGGACCATGTTCTGTGCCTCTATTGTTGAGATGGCTAGTCAGAGCTGTGGCTGCAAGGTTGTCAGTCCATGTCGCGGTAGCAATCCTTGAACACCAGAAGTGAGGGAAGCTGTCAAGCTGAAGAAGGAGTCCTTTCGGGCTTTATTGACCTGTGGGACTCCAGAAGCAGCTAATATGTACCGGCAGTCAAAGCGGCAGGTGGCTCAGCTGGTCGCTGAGGCAAAAACTCGGGCGTGGGGAGAGTTCGGAGAGACCATGGAGAGAGAAAGACTTCCGTACAGCTTCGAAGAGATTCTGGTCCACAATTTGGCATCTCAGGAGGGGGAAGCACTGCAGTACCAACACTATTTACAGTGGGGGTGGTGGGCTGCTGACCTCGACTCGGGATTCGTATGTCAGTGGGCGGAGTACTTCAAAGACCTCCT